TACCGCCACTCCTTATCTCTCATGTTGAGCTTAGTTGATGAGGGTTCTTAAAAAAGCAGCAGCCTCTTAGGTCGCTGTGTAACGTCAAATTGGCAGCTATGTTGCTACGAGATGGAAATTAGGTTGTTTTCCGGTAGGGGGCAGTAGTTTCACTCTCCCAAGACATTTATCTCCTTGTCCTCCAACTGTTTTTTCCTCCTGCAGCTCGAACTTACGTTGTTAAAAACATTGTAATTTTGTTTTTTTCTCTTTTTATGGTCATTATAGATCACTTTTTTTACGGCTAATTATGCAACTCATTCAGGATTCGCCTTTTTTTTACATTTTTTTAAATCTTACAATGACAGCAGTTGAACAACCATGAACCATCACTACAGGGAACACATAAGTATAATTTACTGCAATTTCTCCACGAAGCACGTGCTTTATACTAAAAATTAAAGAGTTTATAGTTTCTACCATTTCTAGGTCTCTCTCTTCGTTCAAAGCAACATGTTCAAAATTGTCTTCAAAAACAGAGAAGGAAAGTGACTTCTGACAGTCAAGTGTAGACAGACAGAACATTCAGGACCAACTACTTAAGCAGCTGAATAATAGACAGACTGAACATTAAGGACCAATAATATAAGCAGTTGGATAATATCTGACAGTCAAGTGTAGACAGACAGAACATTCAGGACCAACAACTTAAGCAGTTGAATAATATCTGACAGTCAAGTGTAGACAGACAGAACATTCAGGACCAACAACTTAAGCAGTTGAATAACATCTGACAGCCAAGTGTAGACAGACAGAACATTCAGGACCAATAACTTAAGCAGTTGGATAATATCTGACAGCCAAGTGTAGACAGACAGAACATTCAGGACCAACAACTTAAGCAGTTGAATAATATCTGACAGTCAAATGTAGACAGACAGGACCAATAACTTAAGCAGTTGGATAATATCTGACAGTCAAGTGCAGACAGACAGAACATTCGGGACCAAGACATTCAACAACTTAAATTCGACAATGATGCTCATTGTGCGAGTTTTGATGTGGAGTCTATGTATACCAACTTACCACTGGAAGGGACAATACAAATAAGTACTGAATTAATGTTTAATACGAACTACAACGCTGTGTCTATACCTAAGTCGGGTTTCTTGAAACTGGAAAATTTTGCCACCAAAGATTCAGACTTTTTATTGAACGGTCAGCTTTATGAATAGGTCGATGGGGTCGCTAAGGGTTCAAGACTTATGCCCAATCCATAGTCAACTTGTTTCTGCGTCATTATGAAAAACAATGGCTGGAAGATTAGTTCAAACCTTTCTACTATTGCAGACGATACCTTTACTATCTTTAGGAATTTTGATCAAGTCCTCCAATTTTTACAGCACTTTTTAACAGTAGACGTAACAAAATAAAGTTTCTGTAGAACATTAACAAGACCAGAAACTTCCTTTTTTGGAAACTAATCTGTAACAAAGAAGGAGAGTACCAATGTAAAATATATCATAAGAAAATATTTATAAGTTTATACTTTAATTTTACTAGATTTATTCCGAATGTTTTTAAAGAAATCTTAGTTAAAATATTGTTACGACAGCGGAAGTCACGTGACGCTGCTGGCGCATTTGGCGCTGGTAGCGTGCGTGATGTTTCTTGAATTATCGGGGAAGTCCGCAAATGTTGTAGAAGCCTCTTTGTTGGTATATAAGCCTGGCAGAGAAAATCCAGGAAGTTAAGCGAACAGTAGTTACGGTGAGTTTCGGGCAATTTACGATTCTGTTTTGAGCTAGTGTGTGTTTTGCACTCGAAGAGAGCAAAATAATCGAGATTGTGAATCGCTGTGATTTATAGCGTGTATTATAAAAGTTGTTAAGTTTAAACTGACGAGAAACGTACTGACTATGAAATTACTGTGTACTAAAAGTTTCTATTGAGAATGAATAAATTGGTTTAATCAAGAAAGGAGCTGTATCGATGAAGTTCCTCCCGGAAATTAACGAATAAGCAGATACGTAACAATATTGATTCATCGCAAGTTTAAACTATGTAGTACGTACGAAATTCTGCACATCGAATTTGTTATCATTAAGGTTTTTTTAATATAAAAATATCCTATTGAAATGATTTTATAAAATACTACGTGAATAATTAAATACGAGAAACTCATGTAATGTTATTCCAATTGAAGAGTCTAAATACCATATCTATATTTGTTTACATTTTATGGATAAATATCCTTAGTTATTAAGAATCAACTAAGACAAGTTATTCATACTGTGTATCCACAAGTACAATTAAAACGTATTGTCGCCTACATTCATTTTTCTGTTTTTAAATTTAAGGGCCATATTTCTTTCTTGCAATCGTCCTTAATAGTTTACAAATTTACTTGTCCTTGCTGCTAGCATGGTTATATTGGATCTACGAAAAGGAAACTAATAACAGGTATAAAAGAACATTATTTCAGATCACCTACCAGATCTAGTATAGTTGAACATGCCCTAAGAGATTATGACGCAATAGCCAAATCTAATTTGTCTAAGATCCTACCAAAGCACAATGGTAAAAAAAGGCTCGTAAAAAATAGTCTTCGACTTCACAAACTGATACCTGAGATCAAAGTCTATTATCCAGCTTATTCTTAATATTGTAAAAATATAAACTTTGCAGTTCTTTTACACATTTATCAGAAAATAATAATAATGTAAAGATATAAAAGTCACTACAGTAAAGTAACTATATACAAATCCAGTTTATCACTACAGTATAGTAACGATATACGAGTCTATTTTATCACTACAATAGAATAACGATATACAGGTACACTTTATCACTACAGTAGAGTAACTATAAAAAGTTCCCTTTAACTATATTAGAGTAACAATATACAAGTCTACTTTATCACTACAGAAGAGTAACAGGTCCACATTAACTATATTAGAGTAACGATATACGGGTCTGCTTTATCACTACAGTAGAGTAACGATATACGGGTCTGCTTTATCACTACAGTAGAGTAACGATATACAAGTCTATTTTATCACTACAGCAGAGTAACAATATACAGGTCCACTTTATCACTACAGTAGAGTAACTATATACAGGTTCACTTTATCACTACAGTAGAGTAACTATATACAGGTCTACTTTATCGCTACAGCAGAATAACGATATACAGGTCCACTTTAACTATATTAGAGTAACGATATACAAAACTACTTTATCACTACAGTAGAGTAAGTATATACAAGTGTACTTTATCACTACAGTAGAGTAACTATATACAAGTCTACTTTATAACTACAGTAGAGTACCTACATACAGTTCCACTGTATGACTATAATAGATCAACGATATACAGATCCATTTTAGCTGTATTAGAGTAACGATATGCGGGTCCACTTTATGACTACAGTAGATCAACGAGATACAGGTCAACGTTATCGCTACAGTTGAGTAACGATATAGAGGTCTACTTTAGCATTACAGTAAAGTAACGATATGCAGGTCCACTTTATGACTACAGTAAAGTAAGTATATACTGATCCACTTCATCACTACAGTATAGTAATGATATAGAGGTCTACTTTAGCATTACAGTAAAGTAACGATATGCAGGTCCATTTTATGACAACAGTAATGTAAGTATATACAGGTCCACTTTCACTATATTAGAGTAACGATATACGGGTCCACTTTATCACCACAGTAGATTAACTATATACAGGTCCACTTTACCATTACAGTAGAATAACGATATACAGGTCTACTTTATCACTACAGCAGAATAACGATATACAGGTCTACTTTATCACTACAGCAGAATAACGATATACAGGTCCACTTTAACTATATTAGAGTAACGATATACACGACTACTTTATCACTACAGTGGAGTAACGATATACAGGTCCACTTTAACCATATTAGAGTAACGATATACAGGTCAACTTTAACTATATTAGATCAACGATATACAGGTCAACTTTATCACTACAGTAGAGTAACGATATACAGGTCCACCTTATCACTAGAGTAGAGTAACGATATAGAGGTATACTTTATCACTATAGTAGATTAACAATATATAGGTCCACTTTAACTATATCAGAGTAACGATATAGTGGTCCACTTTATCACTACAGTAGAGTAACTATATTCAGGTCCACTTTAATTACATTAGAGTAACGATATACGGGTCTAATTTATCACTACAGTAGAGTAACAATATACAGGTCCACTTTATCCCTACAGTAGAGTAATTGTATATAGGTCCACTTTATCACTACAGTAGAATAATGATATACGGGTCCACTTTATCACTACAGTAGAGTAACTATATACAAGTCTACTTTGTAACTACAGTAGAGTAACTCCACACAGTTCCACTTTATGACTACAATATACAGATCCATTTTAACTGTATTAGAGTAACGATATACAGGGCCACTTTATCACTACAGTAGAGTAACTGTATACAGGTCTACTTTATCACTACAGGAGAGTAATGATATACAGGTCCACTTTATCACTACAGTAGAGTAACTATATAGAGGTCCACTTTATTAGTGCAGTATAGCAACTATATACAGGTCCACTTTATCACTACAGTAGAGTAACGATATACAGGTCCACTTTATCACTACAGTAGAGTAACTATATTCAGGTCCACTTTAATTATATTAAAGTAACGATATACAGGTCTAAGTTATCACTACAGTAGAGTAATGATTTACAGGTCCACTTTATCACTACAGTAGAGTAACTATGTTCAGGTCCACTTTAATTATATTAGAGTAACGATATACGGGTCTAATTTATCACTACAGTAGAGTAACGATATACAGGTCCACTTTATCATTACAATAGAGTAACGATATACGGGTCTAATTTATGACTACAATAGATCAACGATATACAGGCCCACTTTATCACTACAGTAGAGTAATGATAAACAGGTCCACTTTAACTATATTAGACTAAAGATATACAGGTCCACTTACACGGACACCGGTTTTGGAGAACAGTAGTGGCTGATGTTGGCCTTGAACTCCCAAACTGCAGCGTAAGTTAGAACAGGCACATTATAATGAAATATTTGAACGTTGGAATAGGACGTGTAATACAACAGTTCCCGTGCCTCCAGAATCTGGACAGCTGGCTGTTCTGGAAAAAAAAAAATCTCGTGTACAAGAGTAGTTCTGTGTGAATAAAAAACAAGAAGTAACGGCTGAACAAGACTATTTAATTCTAATATACGTATAGTGAAGAAATGATACTGTTCAGTACGATGGTTGATTCTGTGCCACTCAGAAGTGGACGAACTACACAATGTGCATGAAAACACATACAGAAACACACATATCTATAAACACCCATACATACATATATATGTATACACATATTTATATAAACTTACATATATAATAACACATACAGAAACCCAAGTATTTGAACATATCTATAAACATCCATACATATATATAAACTTACATACTTACATTTATAAACAGCTTAAGATGTGATGCTTTATGTTTATGTTGTTAGTATGTGAGGCCTTACTTGGTTATAGTTACACATGCAGAAACCTAAGTATTTAAACACATATATATATATAAACTTACATACTTACATACATACACAGCTTAAGATGTGATACTCTTTGTTTATGTTGTTAGTATTGTTGCGTCAGCGAGTCACATGACTACAGTGACGCCACGTTTCTAGAACTATCCTGTACTTTGGCGAATGCTCTAGTATTTACTAGATAGAGGGTAGTCGGGTATATATATAAGAGGGGGACAACGTGACGCGGTAATGTGTGTATAGACAGTGAGTAATTGAACTGCAGTCAGAGAGCACGAGAGACGTTACAGCGTTTGTTTAGCGCGATTGTTGAAGTTGAGTGTATCGGTAAAGTTGTATTCGGAAAGAATAAACCAGTTTTATTAAGTAAAGAACTTGTGTCGCTAAAGTTTCGTCGGAACGAAGTTACGGAAAGTTAATTAACAAACGGAGACGTAACAGTATGTTAGGCCTTACTTGTTTATAGTTGTTTTTTAGTGTCATTCATTTTTAGAAGATAAAACAAAACCTATATTTAAATGTACGAGCACGGAATGAGTGTTGTTATTTTTCATAGTTACATAATGTCATCTTCTTTTTTCAAAATCGTCACGTTTTTAACCGATTTCGTGTAAATTAAATACACAAAACTCTATTACTTACTTTAATACAAATAAAACTTCATTTCACGAAATGATGTTTCAGTTATTCATACTTATAAAGAAAACTTTATTTCATGACGTTTCGGTTATTCATACTTATAAAGAAAACTTTATTTCCTGACGTTTCGGTTATTCATACTTATAAAGAAAACTTTATTTCATGACGTTTCGGTTATTCAAACTTATAAAGAAAACTTTATTTCCTGACGTTTCGGTTATTCATACTTATAAAGAAAACATTACCCAGGATGTTTCTGAACAGATTTGTTCCCCATGTGTGATTTTTGGTCCATGCATTTTTTAGTGTGAAAACTGTTTCATTGTTTTAGTGCAATGGGAATCGATACCCGAATTTTAACGTTATAATCCCTGAAGCTTACGGCTGAGTCGAGACGATAATTGTAAAGTATTTCGTGTTAAAATTAACAATTGAGCCAAATGTACAGGAGTCGCGTGTAATGACGTCAGGAGTAACAGTTATTATATGAGATCGGCG